CCCCCCCCCCCAGTGGCCCCAGCGGCTGTGATTCCTGCCATCCCTTCCCCTCCCTCCGTCCTGGTGACAGAGCTGCACGGCCCCAAACCCTGTGGAGCAGCCACAGCCCAGAGGCCCTGCACTCACCCATGGCCTGCTGTCCCCCAGCACTCCATGGCTTCTGCCTGCCACCCGATTGGCCCGGGACAAAGAGTGTCGGGTGAATTGGCCGGGCCGAAGGGCAGAAGGCCAAGGGCTATTGGTCGTGGTGACTGGCTGGGGGAGGGCCGCGGAGGAGGAAAGCTGGCTGTAAATGGCAGGGGACAACGGAGGCCATGGGTCCGTGCCTAAACATCCCATTCCCCTCAGGATGGGGGTCTTTCAGTCCCTGAGTTACCACTCTGTGACCCTCACCCTGAATGAGAAGGCGGCCAGTCGGCCCCCAGGCTCGTTCAGTCTCTGAGCAGACACTCTGTGAGACTCACACTGAAGGGAGACCCTTTCGGTCGCTGAGTGAGCAGCCAGGGAGAATCACACGGGAGGAGTCCACAGCGCTCAACTACAAGCCTCCTCCAGTGCCTGAGGATCCCCAGCTGAGTCTCAAACTGGAAGGGAATCCTTTTGGATCCTTTCCTCCATCTTCATACCCTGAGAAATAATGTCCGTAGCAGCCAGATCTCTTAGAACCAAAAGTAAACCTGGTGTCGAACTTTGTTATGAGGTATTGCCATCTCAATAAATTAATAACTAGATTTTTTGCTAGGGGGAGACATTACATCCTCAAACTGGAAAATAAATCTGTGTGACCCTTTTAAATTCTAGATGTGGCCATTGAAACCCTGAGTAGATTTCTTGCCTGGCTTAATTCAGGCATGATGTTGGTTCTTAGAACCAGAAAACATCTCAATGGCCCTTTTTAATGCTAGGTGTGCTGGTGATTTATAATAGATTTTATAGTTTTCTGCCTGGCGTAAATTTAGCCGTGGCGATGGTTCTTAGAACCAGAAAGAAAACCTCATCGGCCGTTTTAAATGACCAGTGTGTGGCCAGTGATTCATAAAAGATTTCTATTTTTCCGCCTAGGAATAATTTTATCCTTGGCTGTTTTTTAAAATGTGTTAAGTTATGTTTTGACTGGTAAATAATCATGACACACAGTATGTGGCTGTCACCTCAATAATTTTGATTTCTTCTGTCACACACATTTATCTTCATGTTTCTGAAATGTCTCTAAATGGAATTCAGATTTGGTAACATTCTGTTTGACTTGCATTTTTTGTAATAAAGCTGTGTTTTACTCCTGATTTACTGTTAAGTAGTTGTGATGCTTATGGTAAACAAGATATTTTATCTTTTGCCTGTTTTTATGTATTCTTTATGTATCCATTCTTATCACCATCTCTTCACCAAGAGATACCTGTTGTGATATTCATGTATTTGAACACTGAAATTGCATTTTCTTTCTTCTGAGAGAAATCTTTTGATGACAACTGTTGTTTCTTTTACACCTCACCTTTTTATCAAAAATGTCATTTTAAATTAGTGAACTATTTAACCCATCATCGTATTTTATCATTGCTTTTGTAATTTTTACAATGATAAAAATGTGACTTTTTATCCTTAAAATATTGGATATTTTTATGTATTTTATCTTTAGGACTGTATTATGTTTTGAATTGTACAAACTGTTGCAGCTGGGTTACGCTTGGAAGATGTGATGCTTATGTAGAACAATAAAGTATTTGAATTATTCTATCTATCTATCTATCTATCTATCTATCTATCTATCTATCTATCTATCTATCTATCTATCTATCTATCTATCTATCTATCTATCTATCTATCTAGTAACCTTTTCTGCTGTACCTTAGGAAAAAAATGCCATGAACTTATCTGGCTACAGGTGGGCAGTATTCCCTGTTTTGCCATCCTCAGTGTCCTATTAGAAACGAAACTTTAGCTCCTGGAATTATCTTTTATATTCCTGACGGCCTCTTCTGTGGCTGCTTTGAGCTTCCATCAAAGGAAGGAAATGAAAGAATAGAAATAAGCCACTCCAGGGCTTCTTTGCCAAAGGTTATAGCACACACTGGCCACAGGAGGGCAGACTTTGCTGC